AAGTTAATAACATTAAAGCACAATGGGAATAAGTACTAAGAAATTCAAAATCTTATTTTTTTAAATTATAACAACAAAATAACAATATTTTAAGGGGGAAACTCCCACTAAAATTATCAAAAAAAAAAAATTTAGTATGACCGTTTTTAGACATAAAAATTACCATAGATTTTATTTATGTAATTTTTTTTTCATTAAAATCTTTCTAAAGTGCAAAAATTTTAGGTTTTTTAATGGCGAGTTGATGTTTCGATATATCAAAAGTGTAATTTTTTTGTCGTATTTAAAAAAAAAAAAAAAGCTGATGTAAAATGCCTATAGGTTTGTGAAATGGTTTGTAAAAAGGTTTGTAAAATGCCTTGGGTTAGGATGCTTCATTATATATACTTCTTGTTCAGCTAAGTAAAAGTAAGCGAGATTAGGAGTCAAAAACACACTAAGAATAATTTTACTTAATTTAACAAGAATGACAAAAAGTTGTAGAGTAAAACGTCGAACTATTATTGTTATGAAAAGGCATATTTCTTTTCCAGTTAAAAAATCATTATTTTATGAAAAAGAAGTTGTTGTTAATAGTGTAAATAAAGAATCGACTCTAATTGTAAATATTTTAATTAATAATGCATTTTGAGATATTTCATCTAAACTGGGACCTAATGATTCAGCAATTTACAATAGTACTTTCTTTTATGTTTTTTTTACAGTAGTACTTTCTTTTATGTTTTTTTTACAATATTTACAAAAGTACTTTCTTTTATGTTTTTCTTTCAAGATTTCTCCTTTTCAATAGCCTTGATTTTATGCTCTTTTTCCTCCTTTCTTTCCACTTTCATTGCATAACTTTTATCTAATGGACCCAAAAATTGCTTTTTTAAGTGACACTGATCTGAGCGATTTCTATATCTGAGATCTGATTATTAAAACTACGCGATGTATCTTTTCTTATAAAATTCTTTGCCTTTGATGCTGCAATATCAAAAAAAAAAAAAAATAGTTTATTGCAAAAACTCAAAAGTTGAGTTGCATAAAATTTTTTTAACTATTTTTAAGCAAGTGCTCTCCAGATGAATAAGATGCAGCATCATTCTGAAAATATCTTTCTTCTGTTTTATTGGAACTCCTGCCATAATCCAAAAAAAACATTAACTTTTTTCCAAACTATAGATGCAACTTCTTTTTACCAGTAAATTTCAAGTCAAACTTGTAAGATAAAAAAAATGGCGTACAACGTCTCCATTTGTTTGTAGTTAATAGTTAATCTTTGCTTCAAAGGTAAGTATTTTACTATTGCTCATAACTGATCTAACATTTTTTGTATATGCTATTATATCTATAGATAAAAAAGTAGCAATAAAATATAAAATTATTTGAATAATGTATTTAACATTAATATTATATATATATATATATATATATATATATATATATATATATATATATATATATATATATATATATATATATATATATATATATATATATATATATATATATATATATATATATATATTACATATATATATTACATATATATATATATATATATATATATATATATATATATATATATATATATATATATATATATATATATTACATATATATTACATGTTTTAAAAATGTTTTTATTAAATCAATAACAAAAACACCACTAATTAAAAAAAACTTTCTAGTCGTTATAATTGCGGTTATTTAAAAAATTTTTAAAAAACAATTAAATTTAATGTACTTCCGCATAAATTAATTGCTTTGACATTTCGATGACAATCAAAAACAGCTTAAGAGACGAGGTAATTAAAATTGTAGTCGTAAGAGACTTTTTTTACATTAAAACGCTCTTTCGACTACACTATAAGGGTGTATATATATATATATATATATATATATATATATATATATCTATATATATATATATATAGTCTTGCATGTCTCTTGCGTAGCATCAAAAAATATTTCCCATAAACTGTAGTTTTAAAGAGCGCGTTAATAAACCAGACCAGAAAAAGTTTTAAAAATTAAATTTTTTTTTTAATTGATAGACTGCTTGGCCAAACCAAACCCTCAGTCGATGTAGCAGCACTCTCTTGCGAGTCAGGCTATTTGTCAGTCGTTGTAGCAGCACTCCCTTGCGAGTCAGGCTATTTGTCAGTCGATGTAGCAGCATTCCCTTGCGAGTCAGGCTATTTGTCAGTCGATGTAGCAGCACTCCGTTGCGAGTCAGGCTATTTGTCAGTCGATGTAGCAGCACTCTGTTGCGAGTCAGGCTATTTGTCAGTCGATGTAGCAGCACTCCGTTGCAAGTCAGGCTATAAGATAGTCGATGTAGCAACATTTACGCATGTTTAAAAAATGTTTTTTATTAAATCAATAACAAAAACACCACTAATTAAAAAAAACTTTCTAGTCGTTATAATTGCGGTTTTTTAAAAAATTTTTAAAAAACAATTAAATTTAATGTACTTCCGCATAAATTAATTGCTTTGACATTTCGATGACAATCAAAAACAGCTTAAGAGACGAGGTAATTAAAATTGTAGTCGTAAAAGACTTTTTTTACATTAAAATGCTCTTAAAGCGACACTATATGAGTATATATATATATATATATATATATATATATATATATATATATATATATATATATATATATATATATATATATATATATATATATATATATATATATATATATATATATATATATATATATATATATATATATATATATATATATATATATATATATATATATATATATATATATATATATATATATATATATATATATATATATATATATATATATATATATATATATACTTATATATCCTTATAGTGTAGTCGAAAGAGTCGTTTAATGTAAAAAAAGTATCTTTCGACTACAATTTTAATTACCTTGTCTCTTAAGCTGTTTTTGATTGTCATCGAAATGTCAAAGCAATTAACTTATGCGGAAGTACATTAAATTTAATTGTTTTTTAAAAATTTTTTAAAAAACCGCAATTATAACGACTAGAAAGTTTTTTTTAATTAGTGGTGTTTTTGTTATTGATTTAATAAAAACATTTTTAAAACATGCGTAAATGTTGCTACATCGACTATCTTATAGCCTGACTCGCAACAGAGTGCTGCTACATCGACTGACAAATAGCCTGACTCGCAACGGAGTGCTGCTACATCGACTGACAAATAGCCTGACTCGCAAGGGAATGCTGCTACATCTACTGACAATTAGCCTGACTTGCAAGGGAGTGCTGCTACAAAGACTGACAAATAGCCTGACTCGCAAGAGAGTGCTGCTACGTCGACTGAGGGTTTGGTTTGGCAATCTAATTAATTAAATTACTTTATTATTTAATTATTTCCGGTAAGTATTACAATATTTTTATGACATTAAGTAAAATATTTTACATTAAGTAAAATATTTTACATTAAGTAAAATATTTTACTTAATGTCATAAAAATATTGTAATACTTACCGGAAATAATTAAATAATAAAGTAATATAATTATTTCCGGTAAGTATTACAATATTTTTATGACATTAACTAAAATATTTTTTGCTGTAAAATATTAAATAAAATTTTTCAAAGACCTCTTTATTAGGTAATTATTAGGTAATAAAATTATTAGGTAAGTTCTTTATTAGCATAGATGAACGCTTTTCCCTACCACTTTTTGACGCTAACTTTAGACCTGCTTTAAGCAGAGGCCTTATACTCTAAAGTAGTATAATTGAATTTTTTAAACTAAACTTTTAAACTCAAAGCAATTTTGACAGCAATCCCTACATATTTTGTGAGAAGCAACCCATTCTATTTAAGTTGCAAGACACCTGTAAATTGTCCAGCCAGCTAGTAACAATTAAATTACTCGCATAAGAAAAAAAAAAATGTTTGTTAAGAAGCCATCTCTGATGTATACAGAAAAACTCTTTTCATTACATTTTTAACAATAAGTTACAATTTCACTTTAACACAAATATCAATTTAGGAAAAATCAAGAAATATAATAATTAATTTTTTAATTTCGTTTGTCCAAAAAAAAAATTACATAACAATATGAATTGACTTTAAATTTAATTAAATTAGTTACTAAAAAAAGTGATTTAAACAGCCGTAGCGCAGTGTTTAGAAAGCTTGCTTTTGAACCAAGAAATTTAGGGCTCGAAGCGAGGCATACTTCGTTCTTGTCGCAATACTTCCGTTATTTGAACAATATTAAGTCATTACCAATTAGTATTTAGCAAAGTATTTGTCTGACCTTTTTGCGCAAATTTTGAGAAAAGTTACTGATTATCCCAGACCTCGCGCAAAAAAATTAGACGAAATTTCGGCCAATATTATTTTTGTCGAACGACAAAAGTAAAATTAGGCGTAATTTCGTATCTTAATCTGCATTAGCTTTTATACAATTTTTATTGCTTCTGCAGTTAAAAATTGTTTTAAGTGGTCATCTTGATGTTATCTAGAACAAAACAGTAAAACTATGAAATAATACCAGCTACCATTAAAATGGTACAGAAACTAAAACATTTATTTACTCTCGGGCCAAGTAAAAAAAATAATTCCCTGCAGCTAATAACTAAATTACAGCAAATAACATATTTAAACTAATTTATTATTCCAAAGATAATTAAAATAACTAATTTATTGATGTAATGTTTATTGAGTTGCAAAAGGTTTCCCAAAAATAATAAACTTTATAAAACCGATCAAAGGAATAGTTTTTAAAAGTAATGCATATATATAAGTAATCAAAAAAAAAAAATAATAAATAAAAATAAATAAAATAACAAAGCACATTATTTACATGTTTAACTTTTATGGCGAAACAAAATGTTTCCTTTAAGGACTAATATATAGAATAGAATCCCGCTAATTCGGACCCTAGATAAATTGGACTTTTACTAAATGGGACAAATTTTTAGTTCCCATTAATTTTTCTATACTTACTCGGACATTTGCTAAGTTGGACAAAATATGTATAACCATTCAGAATCCGAGTTAACAAGAATCTACTGTTGTTTTTATAAATTTTACTGTAAAAAAGGCTTTCTTTCAGTTTGTTTATAAAATCACAGTTACTACTCTCTTTACTAGGAAACCACGTGAAACCAGGCTATACTTTGTAAACAGTATCAGATATATCATTATTGAATGCTAAATTGTTAAAACCGAATACAGATTTAGAGTTATGCACCGATTTCAAAGATTCCATATTTGCGTACCTTGCTGACGGCTGGTGTGTTATTAAAACTGGTTCATCAATTACTAGCGAGGTTTTTTTAAATAACATATCTTCTAAAACATCATCATCTATTTCAGGGGGAAGACTATTAAAGGAGGCAACGTTGTAATAAATATTTTTTTCGTCAACGTCAAACGTAAAGTAACGTTCTCCTCGCGATATTATTTCTTCAAGATGCTTGCTCAATTCTCTGAAAGTAGGTCGCTGTAAAGGATCTTCATTCCAACAGTGCAGCATGATGTCATACCTAAAATTTATTTGTTTATTATTTCAGATATTAAAAAAGTTTTTAAAAAACATTTTTTTTTTAAATATTTACATAATTTCAGAACAATTTTCTGGCCGATCCATTCTATAACCAGTCTTTAAAAGAGACAGAAGTTCACGATTACCAATAGTTGGATAAGGTGTACCTCCTATAAATCAAAATAAAAAGTAAATATTAGCAAAATATAAATAACGCATCTATTAATAATTAATATCAAAAAAATAATACCCAGCGTAACTATTTCAAATAAGACAACACCATACGACCATCTGAAAATTCATAAAATGTTATTAGTATTATACTGACTTTTTAATTAATTTAGAAACAAAAATATAAGGCACATATGAGCACAAAAATATAAGGGAAGTGGTGTAAATCGACCTCGGAACATCTAGTTTTTGGAGGAAGCGCTCTACCACTACGCCACTACCGCATAATATATATATATATATATATATATATATATATATATATATATATATATATATATATATATATATATATATATATATATATATATATATACTTGTTAAATTGTTTTAAATATCTTTATGAGTAGACACATAAACAGACGTTGTATTTTGAGTCGGCATAGCGTAATATTTTATTATGTGTTTTATTACAATGTATTTTATAATGTATGAGTAAAATCTTCTCAAACATGATTTTAAAATTAGCTGCCATACGAAAACTTAAGCTTAAAATCAATGAAAAAAACGCACGTTTTGAATTAGCCAATTACGCATCAGTTCATCAATCACGTCATAAACATGCTGGTGGTGGGGTAAATATTTTTATTTGCAACTCATTAAATTTAATTCAGCGTACTAATCTTTGTGTGAATGAAACAGATTTTCAGTTGTTATGCATTAAAATAATAAATAAAAAGGATAAAAACATTTTCGTAAACTCTATTTACAGACAACCTACATAATTTCAAAGCTAACATTAAAATTTTTTTAACCAAAACCAGTAAAAATTGGAACAATCTATACTTAATTAGAGATTTTAACATAAATATTTTAAATTATGCATCAAAAAATGATGCCAAATGCTTTATTGACACCATTTTGCAATATAATTTTATTTCAACAATAAATAAGGCAACAAGAATAACAATGACATTGTCAAAATCAGTCGATAATTTAATAACAAACAATTTTCACATATGCTGCCTACGAACAGACATAATTGAAACCACGTTGACCCATTGTTAGACATTCAAATCACTCCGGCTTCTGTTGCTAAAGTCATATCTCAATTAAACTTTTCTACAGCTTATGGTCCAGACAACATTCCTGTCACAGTCTTGCAGAATTGTTCTCCAGAACTTTCTTCAATTCTCTCTAAACTATTTAGCAAGTGTTTGACTGAGTCTTGTTTTCCTGCTTTTTGGAAAATGGCATCTGTGGTTCCAATATTCAAAAACTCTGGAGAAAAGTCTGACCCCTCCAATTATTGTCCGATCAGTCTTCTTTCTGTTATTAGCAAGGTCTTTGAGTCTTTGATCAACAAATTCCTCACATCTCATCTTAAGTCAAATAGACTACTGTCAGACCTCCCGTCTCTACGACCGACTTGCTAACTGCTGTAACTGAAAGATTTTATCGTGCATTAGATGGAGGCGGTGAGGCTAGGGCTATTGCTCTCGACATATCTAAAGCTTTCGACAAAGTTTAGCATGCTGGTTTTCTCCATAAGCTTGCTTCATATGGTGTTTCTGGGAAAGTTTTTGAGATTATCAAATCATTTCTTTCTAACCGGTTTATTAAAGTCATCCTTGAAGGCCAAGACTCTTCTTTATTTCCAGTAACTTCTGGGGTTCCCTAAGGTTCCATCGTGGACCCTGTTTTGTTTCTTATCTACATCAACGATCTTCCTGACAACCTTTCATCTAAAGTAGCTCTTTTTGCTGATGACTCAACTTTATACTCCTGTCTTGACAAAAAGTCTTCTCTTTTCGATTGCCTAGAACAAGCAGCTGATCTTGAATCTGATCTCACTTCAGTAATAGATTGGGGTTCACAGTGGCTTGTGAACTTTAACTCTAAAAAAACCCAGTTGCTTACTGCAAACAACTACCGTAATATGGTCAACATTCCTATATTAATGAATGGCAATTCTATTACTGAGTCCTCCTCTTTACATCTTCTTGGATTATCGCTTATTACTGACCTTTCATGGAAACCATATATACAATCGATTGCTAACTTAGCTTCTGCTAAGGTTGCTTCTCTTTATCGTGCTCGCCGTTTCCTTACTTCTGATTCCATTCTCTACCTCTACAAATCTCTTATTCGTCCCTGTATGGAATACTGTTGTCATATTTGGGCTGGTTCTTCTAACGATTCACTTTCTCTTCTTGACAAGGTCCAAAAACGCATTGTAAATGTTGTTGGACCTGGACTATCTGCTAAGCTTGAACCTCTTTCCCATCGTCGTAAAGTTGCATGTCTTTCTCTTTTCTACAAATACTATCATGGTCACTGCTCAAAGGAGTTATCATCTTTAGTTCCATCAGCTAAAATTCATTCTCGTTTTACTCGTCATTCAGCGAAGTCTCATTCGTTTACTGTATCTGTCCCTGCGTGCTCTAAAAACTTTTATTCATCTAGTTTTTTTTCCCGCACTTCAATCCTTTGGAACTCTCTCCCATCTTCATGTTTTCCTGACTCATACAACCTTCAACTTTTCAAGTCTTCTGTCAACCGTTTCCTTGCTCTATAACTCTGTTCTTTTTTTCCTAGTAACTCCCTACTTAATAGTAGTTGCTTGCAGTCTTGTTGGGAGTGAATGCAAATAAAAAATAAAAAAACCGACATAACTGATCGTTTTCCTATATTTCTAACCACTAAAAACATAAGATGAAAAAACAATTCCATTAAATCAAAAAATTTAGTAATTCAAATCAATGAAAACTCTTTAGCACATTTTTGCCAAGTATAAAAAAATTCTGTTGATTGGAACTTAGCTTATGAAACACAAAATGCAAATAATGCTCATGAATAATTCCTCGCGTTTTTTGGTAAACAAAAAAATAAGACATTTCCTTTAATCGAACAAAATTTAAATTCTACCCAGCTAGCACATATACGTTGTTAAAATATTAGGACAATCTTGCGCGTTTCATTGACCCAACATCAGCTGCCAACGTTGTTTTTATATCATTATGGTTACAAATGCGACGTTGCCAACAACAAAAACCAATTTTCATAAAAGGTTCTTTTAAAGTCAGAAAACGTTTATATTTTCTACGTTAATTCAACGTTTTATTTATATGTTGGCCAAACGTTGTGTTTGAAATTGACACAACATAGTATATTTACATTGAACTTTAATTGGCAAAATGCTGTATTCAATATTATTTGGAAATAAATTTTCATTAAGTTCTATTTTCTTCATATATATATATATATATATATATATATATATATATATATATATATATATATATATATATATATATATATATATATATATATATATATATATATATATATATATATATATATATATATATTAATGTATATATGTATTATTATTGAGAAGTTTTGTATTCTGTTGGATTTAATGCAGCTCTTTGTTGGTTTAAGAGTGATCGATATTTATAAAATAGATCAAAATATACTTTAAACTTGTATATATATGTATGTGTATATATATGTATGTATATTTCTAAATATATATATATATATATATATATATATATATATATAATATATATATATATATATATATATATATATATAGCCCACGTAAACACTGTATACTCTAATGTTTTCAACGCTTGATCATCGTAACAAAAAATATATATTTGTTGATTGTGGTTTGATATTTTAATAATTACGAAAGATTTTTATCATGTTGTATAATTTCGCAAGAGTTTGGTCGCATACATTGGATTAACGTTGGGTTTAGTTCGTAAAAACAATCAACTTTTTGCAATGTATTTATATACATTCGATCAACGTTGATTTATATATATTAAATCAACGTCGAAATATATACATTGAATCAACGTTGATTTTAGATCGTAAAAACAATCAACTTTTTGCAATGTATATATATACATTGGATCAACGTTGATTTATATACATTAAATCAACGTCGAAATATATACATTGAATCAACGTTGGTTTTAGATCGTAAAAATAATCAAATTTTTTAAATGTTTTCACATACATTGGTAAAATCTTCATTTATATACATCAAATCGACGTCAATTTATATACATTGGATCAATATTGGGTTTAGACCGTCAAAACAATCAATTTTTTGCGATGTTTTCACATACATTGGACCATTGTAAATTTGCCAGACGTTTTTAGTTGCGTCGGTAATAATTTTATCATTAACCAAATGACATTGGATCAACGTTGGTTTTGCAATGAAAAAAAGAGCCGACGTTCGCGTTAATTTTACATACGGTGGCCCAATGTAAGTTTGCTAGCTGGGTAAGTCTATTTTGAATCCGTAGATGAAAAATGTTTTAATCAAATCATTAAAGAAAAAACAAACACTTTATGAAAATTATCTAAGACATAAAACATATAATAATGAAATAATATACAAAAATTACAAAAAATTGTTTAAAAAAGTTTTCAAAAAGATTTTATTACGAAAAGCTATTGGAAAAAAGTAATGGAAATACATAAAAAACTTGGAATATATTCAAAGAAACAATTGGCAAAAATGTTTCAATCAAAAAGAATTTGCTACAAAATTGGTAATTGATGAAAAAGTTGTTTATGATAAAGAAACCATAGCTGAAAAGCTAAATAGTTTTTATCTTGAGATTGGTCCAAATCTGGCGGCTAAAATTCCACCTCCCAGCTAGCACACTAACGTTGTTAAAACATTAGAACAATATCGCGCGTTTTTTAATCCTAGATCGGCTGCCAAAAACTAAAAATCAATGATAATAAAACGTTTATTTAAAGTCGGAAAATGGTTATATTGTCTACGTTGATTCAACGTTTATTTTATACGTTAGCCCAACTTTGTATTTTAAGTTGGCTCATTATTGTATTTAAGTTGATTTAACATTGAACTTTAGTTGGCAAAACGTAGTATTCAATATTTTTTGAAATTTTCATTTATTTCTAACTATTTTAGTTAATTTTATATAATTTTTTTATTTTTGTATTGTTAAAATGTTTATATCAAAACATTTATAAATAATAATATAAAATAAATAAGGTAGACTGCGCTTGATCATCCGAACAAAAATCATGTTTGTGTTGAATGTAGTTTGATATTTTAATATTCA